GCTTTCATCCATAGATGCTTCTCAAGCAAATCCCGGGACGTCATTCTCCCCCTGTACTCGGCCTTAGTGAGGCCGCAGCTGGAGTACTGTGTCCAGTTTTGGGCTCCACAATTCAAAAAGGATGTGGAGAAGCTTGAGAGAGTCCAGAGAAGAGCCACGCGCATGATCAGAGGTCAGGGAAGCAGACCCTACGATGACAGGCTGAGAGCCCTGGGGCTCTTTAGCCTGAAAAAGCGCAGGCTCAGGGGTGATCTGATGGCCACCTACAAGTTTATCAAGGGTGACCACCAGCATCTGGGGGAACGTTTGTTCACCAGAGCGCCCCAAGGGATGACGAGGTCGAATGGTCACAAACTACTTCAAGATCGTTTCAGGCTGGACATAAGGAAGAATTTCTTTACTGTCCGAGCCCCCAAGGTCTGGAACAGCCTGCCACCGGAGGTGGTTCAAGCGCCTTCATTGAACACCTTCAAGATGAAACTGGATGCTCATCTTGCTGGGATCCTATGACCCCAGCTGACTTCCTGCCCTTTGGGCGGGGGGCTGGACTCGATGATCTTCCGAGGTCCCTTCCAGCCCTAATGTCTATGAAATCTATGAAATCTATGGATCAATGTGTCTCCTTCTCAACGTAGTTGTGTGGTTGTACCCTCTTTCCTCCCTGTTTACACATGCCTTGGCCATGTGAAGCCACAGTTCTGTGTATTACCAGTTTGGGGAATGGGATCCTGTACCCACACACTGTGGATCACCTAACCCCCGAGCTGTGCTGTTCCTCTTCTGGCTGTAGCCAAACCCCAGGTTGCACAACTGGCCTGACTACAACTCACTTAGGCAGCACGTTCCAGCCATGAAAGAAAGTGTTGGGATACCATCCCTGTCTCTCTTGGAGTAGAGATGAACCACATTGCTGTTTCTCTTGCCTCTCCCAAGACAATTGGGTTTCCCCTGCTAGTGCTGGGGGAGACAGGGTGGGAAGGCTCCCATGTTCCTGCCCCTTGGTATGTAGGATGGGCAGAGGCCCCAGGCAAGAATTTTAACTTCAAGCCTGAATGTTTCATTAAAGAAGCAAATTCGGTGCAGCACAAGCAGTCTGGCAGCCAGCCTCCCTGGAGACCTGAAGCTCCAAGGTCCTGGGCTGCCTCTTGCCTTTCCACAAGGATGAGACCTAGGACCAGAGGGGAGCTGCTGCGTGGGGGACTAATGCCAGAAGAGCAGTGCTCTGCCAAGGGGCCAGGATCCTCTCTGGTTGTGTTCACTCCTGTCCTCTCACCTCTGACTCATCATGACAGTGGAAATCATCTGGTTTGCTCCTGTCATGGGCCCCTGGGTTGGAGCTGTCCAGGGCCATGGGGTTCTTATTAGAGCAGTGGTCGGCAGCTATTTGGGCCCAAGGGCCACATAGGGAGTTTTGATGAGCTGTTGCGGGCCAGGTCATCAACCCTCCCCTCCGTACCCACACAACAGTTCACCCAAACTCCCTCTGGGGCTGGGGAGTGGAGTGGGAAGGGCAGGAAAGTCTGGGATCACATGTCCCTACCCTCTAGGGTGCAGGGTGGGGGTGGCATGTGTGTGTGTGTTTATATGTATGTGCGTGTAGAGGCGGTGCTGCCTGGGCACTAGGTCTGGGGAGCCTGCTGTGGGGAAGGGGAAGAGGGGAGAGGGTGTGTGCAGCAGAGCTACACCTGGCAGTGCGGTCCCTGGGACTCCACACGGGACTGAGCCCTGCCCATTCACACCGGGAAACCCATGCTGTGGTCTTTCTGGTGACCATACCTGGGCCAGGTGCTGCTCTGCACCCCCCACCTCCGGTTCCAGGATTTGGAGCTGGAGCCCCACGTGTCTTCCAGGAGCGGTTTGGCGTGGTGCAGCAGGAGTGAGAGGAGGAGCTGCTGCTGGAGGCAAGGGGCCTCGTCCAACTGGCTGCAGCCGCCTGGGAACAGCCTGCTGGAAATTGCTTCTGCTACAGCACATGGGGCTCCGGGTCCAGCTCCCAGGGAAGTGGCAAGGAGCTGAAGCCGGAGCCCCAGCACTGTGGCAGGAGTCACCCAGCTGAAGCTGCTCACCCGCCCACCCAGGACGGTGTGGCGCAGCATGGCGCGGTGCCGCAAGGGCAGGAGCAGGAGCACCTTCCAGCGGGCTGTTCCTGGTGCGGCTGCAGCTGTCCAGGTACTGCTCTGCAGCCCCCACTTCCAGCAGCAGCTCCTCCTCTCTCTCTTGCTGCACCACGCCGCACCACTCTCGGCAGGCACATGGGCCTCTAGTTCCAGATCCGGCAGCTGGGAGCTGAAGCCAGAGCTTCGCACACTGCGACAGGAGCTGCCCAACTGAAACTGCTTGCCCAGTGCAGGGCAGCGTGGAGCAGCGAGGCAGCGGTGAGATCAAAAGCCAGAGCTGCCACTGGAGGCAAGGGGCATAGAGCAGCACCTGGCTGCAGCCGTACCGGGAACAGCCCTGGCAGAAGCTGCGTGCTGGCCAGGGCCTGGGCCAGCAGGTACCAGCGGGAGCCCAGTGCAAGCTTCCCCAGTGTGAGCGGGCAGGGCATAGCTCCACGTGAAGTGCCATGTGGGCAGCAATGAGCTGGATCCAGTTCCTTGGTGGGCTGGATCTAGCCCATGGGCTGTATTTTGCCCACCCCTGCATTAGAGGCTGTGGAAAGTCACTCCTGAACAACCCAAGAAAGGGAGTTCTTTGCAACCTATACAGATGATGCATCAAGCACTTATTTGTTGTGCTGGGTATTTTAGGCCCATGGCACAAACAATATAAAATACTGCAGGTCTGATTTTTTTCCCTGAGATATGGTGAAAGGATATTTTATCCTCTTTACTTAGTTATTAACAGGTGTGTGGGCAGAGGAATGTCTGGTTTATCCAACTCTTCTTGCTCAGTGATAAAACTGTTTATTTATAGGGAAAGCACCCATTGTTATATAGTGCTCATTGCCCAATCTGTATGGTAAAAGGTGTAGGAGATAGATGGAAAGTCCTTTCACTCTTCGCTCCCTCCTGGATGCATCTTGAATATGTTTATCCTAACAAAATTGTTCCTGTCGTTTGTCAGATGTTGGCTACAGCAGTGTCTGTCTGGTCAGCAGAGCAGTACAGAAAATGTTTTTTGCATCTCACAATACCTGTTCTGTATAGGTTGAATCCAAACTGTGCCAAAGGGGAGAGATCCCTTTTCTACTGACCCCTTTTCACAGTAGTCAAAAACCTGCCTGTTAAGGTACTCGTGTGGACTCCAGAGAGCAAAGTTAAAGTCACTGCCCCAAATCAAGTCTAAACTAGACCCCAGCTTCATTTACCAGGGTTTCCTGGGTTTACAGTGCCCAAAATGCTAAGTTGTAGCTGTTCTGCAGGGCAAAAGGGGCTCAGTTGCTCTGCTTTTGACCAGAATTGTAACACTGGACAGGAAAAATATCTCCTGGCATAACCGGTGCGTAATTTCCAGTGATGTGTTTCAGCTTTAGCAGAAAGTTTGTCTGAAATTCCTGTCCAGCTCTGGTCTTCAGCAGTTACTTCTTTTAAAGGTGACTGCAGTCACATCACTCAGTCACTGAAAGGGTCAGGGTCTGCTCTACTTAGCAGACAGCCCACGTAAACTGTGGCACCTAAGTGTGATTCTGTTTCAGCCTGGTGTGCTCCCTGGAAAACTGCTAAGACAAAAACTCCTCCCACTCAGTGCTCTGGGTGACTGTCTTAAGGCTAAACTGATGATATCTTACAAAGGTAGGCATTGCATTTTTTTTCCAGGGACTACAGATAGAATAGGATCAGGCCCCAAGTGGTTTTGGATATAAGTTAAGGCACAATATATTTCTACAGTGTTGTTTCAATGTAATGTCTTTTTTTTCAGATTCAGGACTGGAAAAAACATCATCAGAGATATCAGCAAAACATATATGACATCTACACAAGGAACCATGAATAGTGATGTCTGGTTTAATAAAATCAGTGCTTTCCTGGAAGCCACCTTGAGAAATGCAAGTGGCTACTTAAACCTAATCATTACAAATGCGTGAGAACCCCCAATTTTTTTATACCCAGGTGATCGGTAGTTTATATAGCACATATAGACTTGCTCACTGTGAACTGTTAATGCACAGTAAGGTTACTGCATATTTAAAAAAATGCAGTTAATTGCCCCCAGAAAAGGGTCTACAAATTTGCGTGGGAGCAAATTTGTTCCCAATTGGTGCAGTTGAGAGCAGGGATGTTCCTGTCCCCCTGCCCTGCGCTGCCCAGTTGTAGCAGCCCGTCGGAGCCCCAGGCACCCTGAGGCTGGCAGGGGGCTGGTTCAATCCTCATATTCGGGGGCGGGGGGAAGAGGGCGGTGAAGGGAAGAGCTGTCCAAGCAGCCAAGATTGCTGTGTCCCAGTGACATGGGGATCAGATCCTCCTGATCCCCATGCGGCTGCCAGGTTGCGTCCCTGCTGGGCAGGAAAACCTCTCTCAGCCATGTGGGTATCAGGTCGTGACTCATTCTCCATGGGCCCAGGTGGGACAGGAATAGAGGGGGAGCATGTGTGTGTGTCTTTGTGCCTGTGTCCCCATGTCTGTATTGGGGTGAAGACCCCCATTGTCAGGTTTGACCTAGAAACCACTATACAAAGCCCAAGCAAAAGTCTCTGTTATGTAACTAATACCCATCTGCAATGATAAGGAGGTGTCGTGGAAACACACGCAGCATACTTTTGGGTCAGGTCAGCAGAAGCTTTTATTCAAAAGAAACTACAGCTGTAGGGGGGATTCCAAAGTGACATGGATTTTTTAAGCACTTGGAAGGGGTCCCCCCCCAAGAGCAAAACCAGGAGGCTTATATACTTTTTAACAGTTGCTTACAACTCACGTGATCATATAGTGAAATTAGCATGAAAAGCGGCTATAACATTACTTCATTATTTCTTTGCTGTAATCAGGATGGGAACTAATGGGGGAGGCGAGGTTAGTTCACAAACCTCCTTCTTGCACCTGCAAATCACAGTTGTACATACTTTTTGCTATCTTCAAGGCCGCGGTGAGCGAAGCAGTTGCAGAGGAGTTACAAAGAACAAACACTTTCTCTTATCTGTTCTACTATACAGAGCCAGCAATTCTCCACAAAGCGGTTATGTCATCTTATAACTAAAATAGTCAAAGTTTAAGGCATATATTTTTTCTGATTCCACAGTCCCCCCCCTTTGAGACTATTTAGTCTCACTTTACCCTTAAATTTTTATTCTCATGAGCCCCTCTATTTCATCATGCAGCCTTTCATGTTTTCTTTCAATCTGCTCACACTTTTGTAACACCATTATTCTAGACTCTGCTGTGGGTTTTCTTGCCTTGCTAAAGCTTCTCCTGCTGGCTTTCACGCAGCAGAGGATCAGTTGCACTAAGACATAAAACATTATCAGAACTATCAAGACAAACAATATTCCATACAGGATTTTCTTGCCAAGGGCCCCGAAATCTGGGAGCCAGGAGGTTAGCCAAGACCACATTTCTTTTAGACCCCAGTCAGTATTCTCTGAGGCCACTTGATGTAAGACCCTTAACTGACTTCGGATTTTACGAATGTCAGTTTCAATTCGCATGTCCTGATTGACATAGACACAACAGGTGGAGTTTACTAAGGCACATACTCCTCCCTGGGATACCAATAGGTAATCTAGGGCTACGCGGTGTTGTATAGTTACTTGTGAGATCTGGGAGATCTCTTCTTGCAGAGCCTGAATTGCATCCGCAGTGGCATTTCCCATAGCTTCCATTGTGGCTGAAATGTTAATTATGGCTAGTTCCAATTCTCTTACTCCAAGCCACGGTATGAAGGTTCTCACAAATTGATGGAACCCTGTGTTTCTGGTAGCTAAGGGGTTAACCGCCCTTTTCATGTGATGGTTGAAATTTTTTACTTGTTCCAGATATATTGTACTATGCATTTCAAAACCAGGGATAACACGTCCAAGAGTGCATGCCCCCACCCAATTCCAGGGCAAGATTTTATGAGCCCTGTTTCCGCAGAGCCAGTAAAGGCCTGGGGCAGAAAGGGTACTCAAATCTCGACAGGTGTTGTGCCATATCCGGCACTTTCGATTAATATGCATCGTATAGGACGGACCACGTTCAGCTGTTATCCTGCTGGACCGAGATATATTACAAGAAGTAAAATTGGAGTCAATGTAAAATTCCGATCTGTTTGCAATGAGAGCAACATGAGGTTCCTTAGAAAAGTTGTAGACCATGAATCCTGTACAATTGAGAGAGGGTACATTACCCAACAGGATTCCACTGGTGCTATTGGGGCTATAATCTAGAGTAGTTAGGCAATGAGGGTAGTGTCCTACAGGTGTGGCTTTATTATAAGCTCCGGTGTTGTTGGATCTGTAACAGAAAGGCGCCTCTACTCTTGGGGAGATTATCCAGTTAGCAGGGGCGGCCCTCCATTCTTTAGGAGCGGACCGATGGGCAGCTAACGAGTAGTGTCTAACGAAGCCGCCGTTTATTGTTCCCCATTGCCGGAGGGATATTGGTACTCCGATCATTGGGATTCCTTGTTGTAGGTGCGCTGGGCTGTGAGAGCATATCCAGCAGTCACTTTTATTTCCAGCTTGAGCCACCGTACGGGAGATCTGCAAGTACAAATTTTTCTCCCACCCCCCTTGGGTGATACTGAGATACCCAAGTGTGATATATAAGGATATCAGTGCCATTTTTAGATACAGGAGGGACAAAGAATTTTAACAACAAACATAACCAGCACCAGAAA